TTAAATCTGAGGTCTTTGCTGCCGGTGCTAAATATAACGTCTCTTGTAATGACAACTGACAGGGGTTTTCAACCTGCAGCTCTGGGGCCACACGTGGCTCCTCAGAGTCACATTTGGACCTTCGTTTATCCCAACTCCATGGCCTCACACTGTAAAGCCGGGCGTGCACTGTGCAACTTTCACTTGTTTGAGCCGATTTCCCACTCGTGCGAGAATCCACAAGATCGGGGCGAGTTTTGCGCTGAGCGTCGTGTACAGGGGGTTACGAGAGGTGATTAACACCCTGTGACCAGCTACTGATCACCTCGTGAGGGTTGAAGCGGCGCAGCAAGTGGCTGCGACCCAAAAAGTACCAGACCCGCTCACAGCGCATGCGCAACCATGCATCAACACCGCTCGCCCGTTATTTCCCTAACCCTAACACAAGTTGTTCGTTTTTATTTCCACACGTTGTTACTCACAAAGATTGTCAAGAAAGCGTGTTTATCGTGTTCATGTCAAATTAAACTGATCACAAAACACAGATTTACTTTCTTTATTTCGTTTTCCTCATCCAACCCCCATAACTCCCTGTGTGTCCTCCTGCAGCACTCCCGAAGGACAACAGGCAAAACAAGACAAAAAAGTCTGACGTGTTGAGTAAAAACTGCTATTTTTAGCATATTTTTAGGGCCGACGTGTTGCTACCAGACGTGCAGTGTGAGCAGTCAGGTCGCATCCGAGAACTGGGTCGTGCAGTGTGAGGACATGACTCGTGAGATCTGCCCTGCGAGGAAGTCGTACAGTTTGAGCTGAAGCTGAGTGCTACGAGTGAAAAAGTTGCACAGTGTCCGCCCGGCTTTAACCTCCTGAATATCACACAGATGATAAGAGAAGCGAAAACCTATTTTCTGCCGCACCACTTGTTCTTTCTACTAAAAGAAATAGATGAGACCAAATTCAAGTTGCCATGGCAACAAAAGGCAGCTTCTCGAAAGTCGTTTCAAGTTCACACCAAGTAAAACATTTAAAATCTTTAGTCGATTTGTGGCGCGCGCGTCTAACCCTGCGTCTGCAAAAACAAAGACCAAAAACTTGTTGTAGAAAATCTGATTAAAAGATATCCGATGCAAACAGTAATGCGTGTCCTGTTGTGTTGCAGAAACCGATGAAACAAAAAGTCTGCAGGTCTGCGACCATGAAAGCTGATGAGGCAGATGTTTTAAAGTCAACACAAACCTGTGAAATGCTGAATTCATGACTCACTAAGCTGCTCTGCAGCTCTTGTCATTAACGTGACAAACGGCTGACTGTGGTGACTATTCCTGCTGCGTGCAGCTGCTGGGGAGGATGTGGGTCAGGGAGCTAAGCCATCCGCTGCCTTGTAGTAAAAATGGCCTCTTTATCTCTTCTGTCACACGGTTATGTAATTTCAGTGTGTGTGTTTGTGTGTGTACAGTATGTCGGAGAAGACCAGCAAGGGGGGGGGGGGGGGGGGATTTCTGCTGGCTCTGAACAGTGTCTGTGCTTTTCTGTCAGCTGGGACTTATCAGACAGTGGAAATAACCAGAATCTGATTTTTGGTTTCAACTTGACTAGATTATAATGCACAAAAACATACAGCATATGATATTTTACACAACTTATCAATAGAAATAATGCAAAAGGTTTGATTTACATTAAACTGTTAAACCAAGTAAATGCATATACCTCTAAATTAATTGCTTTTTGCAGGATCCCATGCACACAAAATAAAAAGTTACTTCAAACTACCGCTAGCTGTCATAATATAAAAGCACACTGTGTGTTATTTGTTGGAATCTGCAACTTTCTGCACCATATCTTCTGCAGTATCACTCCAAATATTAAAAACATTTAATATTCTTTGGAGATCAATAAAGTATTGTATTTACATGCATGAAAGAACAGATGTGCACACAACATAACAAGCTACTTCAAACTACCCCCATTTGCGTTCATAACATAAGCATAATCAAAAACTTATGTAACGTTTGTTACTTTCTGCGTCATATCCTGTGCATTAAAACTTAAAACATTTACAGTAAAAATAAAATCTCCTTTAGAGATCAATAACGTTTATTTATATGCATGCAAGAACAGACATGCAAGCCAAGCGCACACATGGCGGGGCTGCAACTGTCAACACGCTCACGCTAGCTGTCAAACCGAGCTGGAGGTCCAGCGCACCCCCTGGCGGCGACTCAGCGTACGTACACCACGTTCAAGGCCTTTCCCCGCCTTTAGCAAAGGGGAAAGTCAACAAAATGGTGGCGCCGATAAAAGTCACGTGACTTCTTTGTGCATTCGGGTGCCGTTTAAATGAAAATGACTGGATAGAACACGGCTCAGTGATAAGATTTACCCGCGTAACGCCCTTATAACGCCACTAGTGCTGGTACAGTTTAGCTAAAAACTGTATTCTTCGAGATCTGTCGTGTGAACGAAAAACAGCAGACATGGCGGCCATTTTGCACAAGCTTGCGCAGGCAACACAGTGGCGCTCCTTGATATGAATTTACAGTCTAAGTAATCCACCAGCAGTATGAAACAACATACCGATTCCTCATCTTTTTCCATCCCAGTTGGCATCTGCGGCACTGCCCGGTTGATAGAGACATACTCGTGCAGGTCCGGCAAATCCTCGCAGCGGAAGACGGGCAGGGGCTTACAAGCATCCAACGCCCGTGCCCGAAACGACAATTTACTCATTTTTATAATAAAGGATGCAGCATATATCTACTCGATCTGCCTGGATTAACAGCAGATCTGCTTCGAGTTCTCATGGATGAATCTGTGACGGTCTCTGAAAGTCAGCCGATCGTTTGAGGTCTGTGGCAGCGCGAACAGAGCCGGGCGGGCCCGGGTCTCGGTCGCTCTCTATCGGTCTCTTTTGCTCCTGCGCTCCGCTGTTCCTGCCCGGTTCAATACGCCATGGCCAACATGGCGGACATTACAAACTCATGCAGCTCACCGCTTGCTCCGAGCGGCCCAGCCCCCTCGATCACGCAAACAGCCATTCCCACGCAGTTTCGCACGCGTGCGCGCTCGCGAAACCCTCGGAGCGCGAGGAGGGGAGGGGCACGGGGACCTGGATGCTGATGAAAGGATGAAAAACTTCCAGGCTCGGGATGTTCTCCTGCTGCTTGTGCGTTAAACTGATGCCTGGGACGTTTAAAAAAAAAAAAAAAAAAGAAATCACAGTAAACCACCTGCTCATTTTAATGACATTTTTAAAGAAATAATGAGAAGATTTTTAAAAAACAAATTTCACCATATAACGCAAATGTTCACACGTTTAATATTTACAGATATAAACCAATCTACATCACCACTATATGGAGCAAGTACTTATTTGCCACTATCATCAGTGTACTAACAAGGAAAATGGTCAAATCTAGACAGGACCATTCTGTTAAAGTAATGGTGTTTTTTCCTTCAAATTACTTTAAAATGCATTTAAAAATAACAATGATTGTGAGTAGATTTAACTTTAGACATGCAAATAATTACCGTGGGAATTTCTATAAATTAATTGAATTTCTCTCATAAATGATAAAAATGGCAGAAAATATGCTTAAAAACACCAAAAAATAATTTCAATGATTACTCTCACACACACACACACACACACACACACACACACACACACACACACACACACACACACACACACACACACACACACACACACACACACGCCTGTCTCTAAGAGGCCTGTTATTAAAGTGAACACATCAAGATAACAGTTACAGACTCACAGGCCACTTCATTAAGTACACAAGTATCTAATCGGCCAATCAGATGGCAGCAACTCCGAGCATTTAGACATCTAGATGTGGTGAAGATAATTAGTGAAAGTGTAATCTGAACATCAGAATGGTGAAGCAGATAATGCACCATGTCCAAGCTCAGGGCCGTTTCTCAAAAGCAAAGTGTGCTAGAAGGTGCACTTAGAGAGCAAGTCACCCCCAAATAAACTTTTTTCTGATAAACTATATAAATGCGTGTCTAATCGTGCTGCAGACACGTGTCGTCAATAGTTTTGCACTTTAGTGAATTTTTGTTAAAATTGTAATTTTCTGCCTAAAACTGTCAGTGTTGTGCCGTTGTCAGGTAAAAACTCTGCACTGCATTTGAATTTAAATCTGCCATCGCTATTGGCTAAGAGGTACCCTAGAACATTAGCTGGTACCAAATGATGTCACAATGTTGTTGTGTGGCTGTGTGTGTAATTTGTTAGCGGCTCTGCCCTCTCGGTCTGCTAGGCAACAGCATTTGTTGCACTTTTCAAACAGGAAGTGGGAGTGGAGTAATACTCTGGTAGGGGGTGACTTGCTCTTTGAGTATGTTCTGTTTACGTATAGCAGAAAGTCCATTCTACCATGTATGGGAGGATGAGGATGCATTTGGAACAGAACCATACTCAGTTCTGTCATGACAAGCACTGCTTGCTGCAACGGTAAAAGAAAAAGTATATTTTGTCCCTTAAATAACTAAATAGTGAACACAAATTGTTTGCATAATTGTTACCGAGGAAATACCAGCATTTCCCGCAGCTAAAAGAAGAAAATGTTTATTTTTCCATCAAAGCAGAGCTATTTAAGGCAGCAGTGCTTTTATTTTGATAGTGGGTTGGCTATTTAGCATTTTGAGGGATTGTGAAGTCTGAAAAAGGAAAAACCCAAATAAACAGCAAATTTTACAGGTTAAACATGAATATTTACAATAACAGGTCATTTTATTTCTTTACTGTTGTTTCTTATTTTAAACTAGTTATTAGCTTTCTCCTCCGACATTCAGAGTATAATGGTTTGCTACACAATGCATTATGGGATACTTTGCTGCCTTGATGCACCCTGTGGGCGGAGCAAAAACACACATGGGAACTTTGAGCGTACTTGGGCTGGGAACCGTACCTGGTCCATCGTTGATGACGATTCACGAGGAAGTGAGAACACAAATTCAGACGAGTATGTGTACTGAGAAACAGCCCAGATCACCTGTAAGTGGTTTCTAGAACATGATACTGGACTCCAACAACGTCAACCGTCACAAGATCTCAGTCCAGTCTAGACCCTTTGGGATGTGGTTCTCGTCACTGATGGAGTTGATACCGTTGTGTTAATATGGACCAGAATCTCTGAGGAATGTTTCCAACACCCTTTTGGATCCACGGCATGCAGAATTAAGGAAGATCTGAAAGCAAAAGGAGGTCTACCATGGAACCAGAAAGGTGTATTTAATAAAGTGGCCAACTGGTCAGTTAACCGTCCTAAAACACACACACACACACACACACACACACACACACACACACACACACACACACACACACACACACACACACACACACACACACACACACACGTCATTTTACACCAAGAACTCCATCTGTACTCAAAGTGACAGCATATCTATTCAGAGTATTTCTATAATGTCATCACTTTATATTCTAAGTCAGTTAAATTATGCAGCAGGTTTTACATTGAAATGTTTTCAAGCGTGGACATTTGGACTAATTCCCAGAAACGACAGAATATCAGGTAAAGAAAAACAAACATTCTGCTAATCTAAAAGGAGGACAAAAGTCATCAAGTAAATGTAAAAGTCCTAATACCGGAATATGGAAACAACAAATACAACTAAACGTATTTTTTCAAAGAAAATCTACTCATAACAAGAACCTGTATCTGTTAATGATCAAGGAGAAGCTTTGTGTGTTTCTAAAATTCTGAGTAATTTACCAAAAACTAGAGATGCACCGATACCAGTATCGGTATCGGTGCCGAAACCAATACCAACACCAGTATCGGTATAAGTTAACTGATAACAGGAACCGATACCAATGCAGTTGCTTGAAAATGGCTTCACTGTAACTTGTCATTTCTGTTCACCTAATATTTTAGTTTTGTAATGATTTCCATTCATATATTTTACTTTTTATCTACCTCACAGTCTTTTCCTGTTGAAAGCAGAGAAGAAAATAAAATCTGTATTCCAAATCATTGCATTTTTTTGTGTGGTGGAAGTATAAGTATTGGTAATCGGCATCGGCGAGTACTCAGATCCAAGTATCAGTATCGTATCGGTTTGGAAAAAGAGAGGTATCGGTGCATCCCTACCAAAAACGTTCCTTAAGAACTTCAGTTGCAGCTTTTTTCTAACTCATTTTAAGACTGTTTATTGGACCAGTTTCAAAGGAAAGTATTTTTCACCGGCCCACTTCACAATCACCCATAAATAGTTTGTCAAGGTACTTCAACTGAGAAAAACCAGAGTTCTGTTTAAACAATATCAATACAGTGATTCTTTTTGTTGTTGTTGAATTTACGAATATAAAAACCATGACTTTATAATGGAATAACTGTTGAGACTGTTTTCATCGAGACAGCTGAGTCAGTCGTGTCTTTTTGAGGAAGGCTGGCACTAAAGTAGGGCTGGGCAATAGATCGAAAATTTATCGTTATCGAAATGTGTCACTCTTATCGTGATAACTTTTTAATGTCAATAAATTTGATACTAAAAAAATTAAAAGATGTGTAGGTTGGCAACATTTATGTCCGTTTAAGAAGCTGGACCACCTTGAGTAACGTAAAAATGTAACTCAACGTAATACATGTGACAGCCCCAGCTAGTGGACAACTTTTGTTTCTGCGAATACCTGTAGTTATCGCCCATTTATCGTTAAGAGGTGAAATCCTCAATATATCGTGATATAGATTTTAGGCCATGTCGCTGAGCCCTACCCTAAAGCATCAAAAGAGAAACAATCTTACATCCTAAGTTACTGCTATAGTATACTTTAACTCATTCACTGCCATTGATGGCAAAAGTCGTCATTTTAAATCCAACCGTTCGCTGCCATTGACGACTAAAGTAAAACAAAAAAAACAACGTAAATAACAACCTGCAAGGATGAACGAGTACTCCTTCAGATTCCCGTGAATGATCCAGAAGTGGGAGGCAGGCATGATAGTCATCCGTTTGGGAGCAACATGCTCAGATCTGAAGGCCTGTGAAACAGATTGCACCAAGAGAAAAACTAGAACGGTAAAAAAATCACAATATTACGAGTAAAACTTGTGCAAAAACAAATACTAGTCAAAACTTACAATATACATCCTTTAAATCAAAACATATCAAACAATAATTCACTTTGGACATAAAGGTTTTGAAGACATAAAACAATGTACTCAGCAAAATCTACAAACATCATCCCAACAAGAATACAGTTAGAGGTCAGTAATGGTTTATTTATTTGTATTTTTCATATAAAAAAACTTAACTTTTGTATGTTTTCATTTATGTACAAAATACAAAAAACATACAAAAGTTCTGTGTGTATGTACACATTCGAGAGAGAGAGAGAGAGAGAGAGAGAGAGAGAGAGAGAGAGAGAGAGAGAGAGAGAGAGAGAGAGAGAGAGAGAGAGAGAGAGAGTGTGTGTGTGTGTGTGTGTGTATTCGTTAAATGTTATATCAGCTTGCCATATAGGGAAATAAATAAAAGCAATGGTAACTTTTTGCTTTCCAATTTGACTTCAATAATGGGTAACCTAGACGAAATTTTAATTAATGTAATTGCATCTTAAAGCGCCCAATAAGGTATGACGCTAAACACATTACAAAATATCTCATTATGTTATTAGTTGCGTTAAATAACTGAGGAACTCGACAGCTAAATGGGAGCTAATATTCGTTTTGACGTGTGGGTGTCAAAAATGCACCGGCACAAAAACATTTAAAACGGATTTGCCAGTCGTTTCGAGCCCCAAAACAAGGAACAGCTGTGTTTGCACAACGAACAGCAACACTGCAGCTAGCTTAGCCCAGTTACCCTGACCCTGCGCCATTTACAAGCCAGCTAGCAGTTCGCTAACAGACAAACAGCTGTTTTATTTTACTCAAGACCAACATGTCTACCGTTGGAACCCTCGTCACGATAAGTCGAGTCAAAATAAAACCCCCATCGAGTGACAACTCCAACTTACCTGCAAATAGCAACGCCACGAAGGAGAATTGTGATGGTAGTTCCTCTGGTTGTCACGCTAGCTTCAGTGCTAACACTGGTTAGCTCTTTTATGAACGCCAAAAGGAAAATCATGATCAGTCTTTTCATGAAAAACTACCTCGAACTTAGTTAGAGAGGTCACCGAAAGCAAAAATATTGGGTAAAGTAAGTGAGGTCGAGTTGCTGAAAGTATAGCTGAATAGTTCTTAGGGGAGGATTTCGAGCAAAGAGAGAGAAAAAAAGATCCAAACCGACCACCAAGCTACTTTGCGATTGGAGGATGGCGCAACCAATGACGTGCGAGGAGCTCTGAAACGATGAGCTCATTGGTCCTCCCTTCCCTCCTAAACAGAAATAAATAAATAAATACATAAATCAATAATAATAATAATAATAATAATAATAATAATAATAATAATTATTATTATAATAATAAAATAATAACAGTATTACAATTATTTAAAATTTTATTCAAATTAATTCATTTATGAAATGCCAATAAGAAGAACAGCAAAGACTTTGCAGAAAAAAGTCTTTTATTAGCCACAGACGAATGTGACATTTATGTCTGGACTGTGATCTCTTATGTAAGCGCCAACCCCTGAATCTCACATCACTGCACCTTCTCACGAGTCTTGTTGCAGGCCAGGGCTGCCTCTGCTGCTTCCTCCTCTGATGCTGGGCTGCCTGCACCACACATTTTTTATGATCAGACACAGTTGAAAGGGAGTGCTGCATAGTGGAAGCATATGGAGTCTGCGAAGCCTCGCAGCCGCCGCCTCCCACCATCCGCTTGCTGTTAAAGCTGCATGCATGCCTCTCCCCAAAGACTCTGGGAGTGGAGGAAGCTCTGCTATGATCAATACAGCTTTACTCATCCCTCTGAGTGAGGTCATCAACAGTCCAGTCTGGGTTGTGGACAACCTTAACGTCTATTTTGATTTGAGGAGTCATTTGATCCTGTGTGTTTACACATTTCATATCAGTGCACTTGTAAAGAGGTTTGGTTGTTTAACTTTTACCCATTTAATATATTTGTTACCTAAATTCACAGGTGTCTACTAGAACCAGCTTGGTTTTCATATCCGTGTAAAAATATCTTCCTTGACTGCAGAGAACTGTAAATGAATAGTAAATGACTTCATCCTTCCAGGAGGACACCTTCCTCTGTGATCATCTAGAGGGCAGTGGAGTCCCACGTAAAGGCTTGAATTATAATGCATGAAGCAAACTGTTCACCTCACTTTCTCTCGCCCTTTGAGACTGAAGTTACACAGCTTGTCCACTCGTCAGCATTCATGTGAGATTTTTCTTACATATGCCTTCTGGAATATCACACAATATTTAATTAGTCTCCGTGGATTTTTATTTTTTTTTTACTGTCAGGACATTAACTCCGGATGTGTCCCACAGACAAGTAACCTTTTTTTGGAGGAGCAGCAATTTGTGTGGATGAGGTGTGTGTGCAGCGAAGAGAAGAGTTCAGAACTGTCATTCTCAGCTGAGATCAAAGGAGAGTAAGTCAGACATCAACATCCGCCGCTTGGCCCACCCCACCCTCCCACCAAACAGTTTGGACCATCTGCTGACAGCAGTTGGGATGATGGATGTTGTTTCCTTGTG